ATTATTATTATTATTATTATTATTATTAATAATAATACTAAGAGGGCTTTGGATCTATTGGGTCAAAACCTAAACTGTTTTAGAAAGTAAAAAATAGAATTCTTGTCAGTCTGTCTCCCATTGCACTGTGATAAGTAATAGACTGGCTGGTTAAAGCACTACACAAACCAGGTGAACTGCTTCTGTTAAAATTTCGTGAGTTGTTTCAAACACCTTTACATCTGATTCAGTTTTGTAACTACTCTGTTTGTTCATCTCTGATAACACAATGCTTTGTTCCCACAAAGCTGTCATTACAGGCATAAAGGGGAGTGAGAAGCAAACAAACTGAGCACCTATCTTTGAGCAGTCTTTTCATGAGCATTTGAATTCTCATGCAGAAAAAGTTGTCAATGATTTGTAAATTTATACATGGATGTGAAAGTTTTGAAATCTTTGCTGTCTGCAAAGTTTGCTCAGTTACATGTTGTATCACTATGATGGTTTATTGAGCACTTATGTGATTGTTCAATTGTTTTTTTAAGGAAATATGAAACCAATAGCAATGGAATCAGGAGAAAACAGAAAATAAGAGTTTTGCTGAAAACGATCGTGATTTTTATTTTACTATTATTTGGTAAAATCAAGCCAACAGTAAATGAGTATACCAGTTTCCATGCCAATTAAGAAAATATTTTACCCCACTAGTTTTATCATAATGAGTTTAGATATGGTGTGGTCATTGTGTATTTTAGAAGAATTGTTCTGAATTGTAGTGGACGTTTTGGACAAAGTAAGCCTTGAAATTCTCCAAGGCCTTCAAAATCAATCCTGATTCCTGTAAACTGAGAAAAAACTCAAAACGGCTGCTCACTTTCTCAGTCATGTTATTTAATAGGGAGGTGTAACTTTGTACAGCTTTCAATGCTGCTTTACTTTACAAAGGTGAGCATGATTTAGGGAAAAAATCTGAGATTTTCATTGGTATTTTTTGTAGTGTTTTTCTGCTGAGGACATTGCTAAAGAGATTGAAGAGGAAGAAGAGGGTCATCATGAAGGAGAGGGACACCATGGAGAAGAGGAAAGTCACCATCATAAAGAGGAAGAGAAACCCCTTCATCTGGAAGACTTTCAAATTGCGTGTGCCAGTATTGTGCTACATTTAGTACAAGGATATTGCATTGAGGAGGCACATGGACACAATGAGACTTCCTCCCTACCTTCGAGGCAGTTCTTCATAAAGGAGCTCTTTGAAAACAAGACACACCTCTCTGAGGGAGATTTGGAAGCAATTATGAAAGTTCTTAAAATTGGTAAAGCTGAGTCATCAAGTGGGGAGGATGCCCATGATCACGACGATGGTCACAAGCACCGACGAAGAAGATCTGCTGGATCCCTCTTGTCTACATCACTGGGATCAAAGACCCCTCATTCTGTTCATCGCCGTGCAGTTGATGAGCATGGTCATGGTCATGGGACTGGAACTGGAACTGTAAGGAACATAGTACTTAATTAACCCTTTAGCTCCCACAATCTGATTGTGAACTCTCCCCTCTAGCTACTAAACATTTCCTTGTACTTTAGTTACAAGAATTTGGTATTACAAGAATTTGGTATTACAGGGCTTCTCACTAATGGTAGCCAACCAGCCACAGACTAGTAGAAATTCAGTTTTGGCCAGTGGTTTTCGATTTCCACCAGCCAGTTTGGCTAACAAACAAACTGAAATTGTCGTAATAGCTAAGTTGTCACTAGCCACTTGGCTACTGGGCTGAAGGGATCAAGATAACCTCTACCTTATAAGTTTGAGTATTTTCATGATTGAGTTTTATGGAAGAAGTTATATGTTAATCACTGGGATTTAAGGCTTGTGTCAATCTTTTAAGTAACCACTACTCCTTGATTGTATTACAATATATTAGAGCCCATACAGCCAGCAAAGCTTGCTTGTTACCTGGCAGCATTTTACTAGATAAATTAGACATGAAATTATAACACAGCCAAAAGGAGAATTAAACTGATTGTGAAATTATAATTTTTTCCTGATGTTGATTACATGTTTGGTAAACTTATATTAAGTATGATAACTGTGTGAAACAACGGAATATTAAAGATGGCATATTATATCATTATGTTCACAGTGTTACTCTCTCGACGATATGCTTACAGTTTTTGGCATTGATCACATGATTGGTGCAGATCAATTTGACTTTAAAGAACTTTGCCCTGCTTTCATTCAACAAGCCAAAAGTGGACATTGCAATGAAGCTCACAAAGATTCACCAGCAACAGAGAAGAACATGGCAAAAAGTAAGTGTTCTTGAGTAATACTGTTACCTGTGTCTCACAGGTATTACATGTGTATTGTTTTTGTAGCTAACATTATTTGCCTCTCTGGCCATGCAATACATTTGTCCCCTCCTCCTGATTTCTCCTTTTTCCTCCATAGTTGTTTCTCAGTTTCCATAGCATGAAGCGAATAGGAGTATTTCAGCTCCCCCCCTGAATGTGGTGCTAGTCCATCGCATGGTTACCCCCAGCACTAAATTTACTGCTGCCATTTAAATACCTGGGTGAAGAGAGAGGCACTATAAAAATGAAGTGTCTTGCCTAAAAACATAACACAATGTCACCTGCCAGGGCTATAACCGTGAAGTCACCATGCCTGTTACATCTTTTTAAGTGTAATGATGTATATCATTTAAGAAAGACCAAAAGGTGATTTCCACAGGTAAGGTCATTCTGTGCACACCACAATGTTCAAAGATTTGAACCATTTTAATCTAACAATTGTTTCGCTTTCAGTATGGGGCTATGGTTTTATTGCTGTCACCTTCATCAGTCTCACATCCTTGGCTGGTGTGGCCATCATCCCATTTTTTGAGAACAGAATGTACAAGAATATCCTGGCCACCTTGGTTGCAGTCGCTGTTGGAACATTGGCTGGAGACGGTTTACTTCATTTGTTACCTCATGTAAGAACAGAAACCCTTTAAACCCTAGCATCTGTTTCTAAATTCTCCATACTGTTCTCTACACATTTCCTTTGGTACTGACAAGGAGAATTGTTTTAACAATCAAAGCTTGTAAGGGTCAATGATCATTTCCTTTTTTATCATGATTCCAATAAATGATTCAATAGCATTAGTGAAAGGAGAAATTAAATTCAAGTCACTTGCAGGGTTTTACAGGTTGATGATGATAAAGTTTTTTTAGAAATGATACTTTGTGCTATGAAGTAAAAGCAGAAATTGTTTACAACATGACTTTCAAATTATGAAATAGGAAGATCACTGTCTTCAAGTAAATTGAAATGATACCCTGGGAGAAGCTGCTCTTTACTCCTTTGCTTCCATGAGATGTAAGGTTTTTTGTATTTAAATTCTGGCAAACTAAATAGGGAATATATTTATATATGTTATTTACCAATGAAAGAAGACATAACTTACTTTACCATGATTCAGGGCTTGACACTAACTTTTCAACTTACTAGCCAAGTGGCTATTGACATCTTAGATGTAACAACAGTTTCAGTTTGTTTACTAGCCAAACTGGTCAGTGGAAATCGCAAACCATCAGCCAAAACTGAATTTCTACCAGTCTGTGGCTTGTTGGCTACTGTTAGTGTCAAGTTTAACTAATGTGCAAGCTTGTGAGCCAGAGCTATTTTATGCGGGCCTTGAGTCTTTTCTTGCAAGCCACTGTTTTTTTTCTATATGTTTCCATTTTCTATCCTTTTTTTTTATTCTAACAGTCTTTGGTTCCTCTCCAGAAAGCATTTGAAGGTGAAAATCTGAAAAATATTTAATAAACAAACTATAGCATGAATTGTCATTTGTACCCTATTCATGCACTTATGCACTCATTTACAACCAGGGAGGATTTATTGCTGCCGGAACATCAGCATAGTCAGCAGCAATTTTTTTTCAGCATCTAAGCTCATAATTTCTGTTGATATCTCTGTAAAACAGTGCGAAACTGCCTCTTTTAAAAGTCAGGACAGTCTAATACACCACCTAGACCACTATCATATACCAAAGATAACTTTTAAAAACTTCTGGGTTTTTTAATTATTCAAAAGTGATTTGATTTAGCAGCAACAAAACCAGACAAAAGCAAGATACTTGGCAGGCTGTCATTTCATTTTTATTCCCAACTAATCATGTGAAATAGTGAGTTTAACTGATGTAAGTGGTCAGTTTATCTGCCACATTGAGCGAGGCCAAATACAAGAAGGATCGAAGTAAATCACAACTCATCTCGTGTCAGACAAAACTCAGCTTGCTGTCGTTAGGATTTTTAACCCTTTAAAATACCTCCCAGATCTGATAATTAAAAGCAAAAGGTGTAAAAAGTATTAGCACTCAAACATTTGCGTAATTTTATTAAAAAAAAAACAAACTACTAAAGTGGAACAAATTAAATGAAAACAAGACTTACTATCCAGGAGAGAAGATTCCACCATATTTGAACTTTGCATAACAACACGTAGACCCCCTGTATTCAATACCATAAAAACACATTATGTCCATATTTGGATGTTTTTGGCAGGAACTTTTGGGGCTCGCAAAAATGGCTCCGGCTCACAGGCTTGCATAATAGCAACCCCCGTTGGTGTCAAGCCCTTATAATGATGATTTTTTCCCATTATGCAGGCATTTGGTATTCATGCACACCATGAGGGAGGTGCTGGCCATGAAGGTCATGAAGAAGATAAAGGCTTTGTTTGGAAAGCTTTGGTTGTGCTGGCCTCTATTTATGCATTCTTTCTGTTTGAAACTGTGATGCGTCTGTGTTTGAAGAGTAAGGTTGGAGAACACAGCCACATTGATGCTGATGTTGAGGTGAGCAGACGTGATTCATTGGACAGTACATGTGCTGCAGTCTTTGTTTGTTCCTCTATCTTTTCTTTTAATGGCAAAATGAGATGTGTTAACATTAATCTCTCTGTTTCTTTGTTTTGTTTTGTTTTGTTTTTTTTCTTCAAGCCTGAAATCAGGAGTTCTTTGTTATCCTCACAATGATTACATGACCAGAAAATGTTTTCTGCACTGAAACTAAGTGTTATTGTCCCTCTTTGCAGCTGCCTGGCCCTTCCAGTCGGCATATGAGCTTCAAAAACAAAAGGAAGTGTTCCAGTTTGGAGCACCATGAAGGTGTACCACCTATTGCAAATCATCATGAAGAAGCACCACCTGTGGACAACGGTGGCACTGTTTTGACAAATGTGGTAAGCAGAATGTTAATAGGTTTTTATTTAGATTGTCTGTAGGTTGGAGAACAACATGCTGTACTTCACTCTACCCAAGTTAATATATAAATGTATAAATGGACACTTGTGAACAGTTAGCTCAAGCTTTTATCAAGTGAAATCTTCACAGGGGATTTAAGCACCTCCATCAGATATCTAAAATGTAGAGGTATGCTGTGGAAATTGGGAAAGAATTTGAATATGGGGACCAATTTATATGGCTTGTGTGTAAATATTGCTTTTAGTCCTTAAAGAGATTAAGGAAGTAAAGGAGAATGGCAATCAGAATTCAGATGCGAAGGGTCATAACAGAATTAGGCTTTGGGTAGTGCATCAACCCCAGAAAAAACCCCACTGAAAGCACTCAGCTCAGTTAAGGCTACATGATTACAGTAAAATTGCATGATAGAAAACCCTCTAAAAGTCATCAGGTCAGAGTACAATGCAGAGGATGTGGCCCTGATGCTAATTTGAAAACTAAGAGTTATAAGAGAATCCTAAAAAAAATAATTCTTGAACTTTTTGACTCCTAAGAGTGGCAAGCATGTAATTCCTCCTTGCAATAATCATTCCAAATCACACACCTTAAGGCATGAGAATAAAGGAAATGATCACCAACTAAAGAAGCTGTTGATTGTTGAAAAAATTCTCCTTGTCAGCACTTTAGGAAATGGACAGAGAATAGTAGTGAGAATATCCAGACTGATGTTAGTGTATAAAGGGCGTGCCTTTTTAAATTCTGAATTACAAATGTGATGTGTTAAAAGTTTACCGTATCTATCCATGTATAATTCGAACCCCATTTTCAAGGTCAAAAATCAGATTTTTCATAATTTCTAGTAAAGAAATATTCAGACCGATAGAAATTTCCCAAATGGCTGATCTCTTATTTCTGAGAATGTATTGAAAACACGGTGAATTACAGGAAAAACTGCAGAGCAAAATGTGTGCAGTGAAGTTTAGTAGCACTTGTTTACATCACCTTGATTCACGATTGTAGCATATATGAGCAGTTTGATTTACTGGAGAAGTAATTTACCATATTTTGTAAAGTGCTTTGAAAATGAAATCTTCATGCATTTAAATAACCTTTTGAAAGGAGATTTAGAAGACTGAAGGAACACCAAAGAGCTTCGAAGGATCGCTTGATGAAAACTCATGCCATCTTGGAAACTACACAATATAATTGGTCCACGTGCATAACAAACAAGATCGTGCAAGAAAACAGCTTTTGCCAGGTCACTAAGCCACTGTAATCGTTCAATGAAAATGAGAATTCAGCACCAAAAACAGCAGCGAAGCTGTAAGGAAGAATGTCTGCTCTACAGATCAGAAGATACAATAGAAATTAGCCCCACAAGGTTTCTGTTTAAGCCACAGAAAATTTGTTATTTCAAATTTTTTTGTTGATGAAGAACATGCTGAAAACTAATGAAACTCAAAAATGATTAGAACTGTTTTTGTGAACTCAGTTTTCCTAATGGACTTCAGGCAATTGTTATGCTAATTTCTTGGATTGCTTGGGTCAGATCTTTGTCTATGACCTGTGTATAAGTCGAGGGTGATTTTTTGGGTTGATTTTTCAGTCATAAAGGGTCGACTTATATACCGATAAATGCAGTATTTAATTTACTTTAATTTAAAAATCTTTAAACTCTAAGGTTTGGTTGATCTTCATTGAATTGAAGTTTAAATGAAAGCCTGTAATCTTTTATTGCTAAAGGAGGGTCCTACAGCATACTACAACTCCAGTCCTTTGTGTACATTCCATTCACACAGTGTCTATGAGCATGTTTCTAGTTCAGATACTGAAGGGGGTGATTATCAGGTAACATGACAACTGACAATATCATGTTGTGTTCATTAATAGTGTAGTAATTTGATAATAATGGTAAACTTTGAACGATCTTACCTCCCAAGCTGTTGATTCTGACTGGGGAAAAATTTTCTTAGTATACTCTTGAATGTTGTTATGTGTAGAAGTGATGTGCTCTCATCAAATAAGTGATTGGAACTGTTTAAGGAAAGCTCCTCAGTTTTCAACTTAACCAAGCAATGAATAATGTGCTTTGTACAATGCATGATTGCTGAAACAGTGAATTTTTTAAATTGATGAGACTGAATTTGTCACAAATTTTTATAAAGTTAATGAACTATTGACCAACAAGGTATGTTAACAAAGGGCTGCTTAAGCTTTCCTGTGTATGATCAATAAATAATAAGCCACAATTACTGGTTACATCATGGAGTTGCAACTGGGATAAGCACTGACAGGGTGGGCCTTCTAGCTGATAAATTGATGTTCCCTTTACTCACGGAAATTTTCTACAATTCAAAAGTGTTTTAATGGCGCTACATTGGTATTAGGCAATTTTCTCAGAAGATTTTAAACTGCAGCTAGACAGTTCTAACATCCAGTTGGTGATTATAAACAGCACTCACTGCTGAAGAGTCATGTAAGCTGAAATTTCCCCTATGCATGTACAAAGAAGATATATATTTTTTTTAACCAGAATACCAATGGTGAGGTCAAAGGGGATGGAGCTGTAGCCCTTCAAGATGTTTCAGGCAAACCCAAGAAAAGTCTGAAATCCATCTTGTTACGCCGTTCAGTACTCAGCGATGAAGAAGGAATTAAAAAACCTCTGAGTAAGGTAGCAGCTGTTGCTTGGATGATCATAATAGGTGATACTCTTCATAACATTGGCGATGGCTTAGCCATTGGTGCAGCATTCTCATCAGGAGGGAATTCTGGTGTGTCTGGCGGCGTAAGTACGTCAATAGCTGTGTTTTGCCACGAGTTGCCGCATGAACTTGGTAAGAAAATCTTTATGATGATCATGCTTACAACCTGATCATTTTGTAATATTGCTACTTACATGAATGGTTAGATTCTTTGTTTTTCTTGTTGTTTTTATTTTAATTTTTTCCCAAAATTTTTTTCTGATTGATCTGCAATCCCATGCAAGATCCAATCTGTGATCCCATCTGATTTTGTCAATGCCAGATCATTTGAACAGTTGAATGACTGGCATTAAAATTTTTTTTTCAATTTGCAGGTGATTTTGCAGTTCTACTGACGGCTGGCATGTCTGTTAAGATGGCATTGTTAGCAAATTTCGTGTCAGCCTGTTCTTGCTATATTGGCTTGGTAATTGGCATTTCTGTTGGTCAGCAGGCTGATGTGCGATTGTGGATCTTTGCCATTGCTGGAGGAATTTTCCTTTACGTAGCTTTGGTGGACATGGTAAGACATATTTACTTTAGAATTTGACATACTTCATGTGCCAGACATGGAGGGCTATTGTCAGTAGGAAGCATTTTGAATTGTAGATCCAAAGGTGCAGGGTTTTGGTTCCCAGGCCAGGTCACCATGTTGTTTCTTGGGTAGGAGTTTGAGTGGGTACTAGTCCACTGTGAGGGAAACCTGGCAAGATACTAGAGGAGGGTTGTGGTAACCTTGGGCAGACTTACAAACTATCCATGTGGTAACCATCATACCAATGAAAGGGGATAAGCTATTACTGCCAAGCAAGTCAGTCTCTGACATGCGATCTTATCACAGTTTGGATGTTTCACCCGGCCTCAGCCCAGTGTGGGGAAGAGAGACTTAAGCTTTCATAGGACCAGTTAGTTAATAGGTTCACTTTTTTTTATCACAGGTAACCACACTTCTGCTTATTATTGCTTAAAGAAATTTATGCCTTGAGGTACAATATGCTCTACTTTTTAGTTCAGAGCTAACGTAACAACTCATATTTATTGCAGCTTCCAGAGCTGATGCACAGCGAGTCATTGCAGACTGAACCAGCAGTGACATTCATTTGTCAAAACTTTGGCATGCTACTTGGAATTGGGATTATGTTGGTGATATCCTTGTATGAGGAAGATCTAATGGCTGTAACTTGGTAGTGAACATTTGCCCTTGTCAAATTGTTGTTCTACAAAGTAGTAAAAGATTTCCTGGGGCTATTCAGTGTTTTAGTGAAGTACAGATTAGGATATTTTTAATGTTTTTTTTGCAGGTGTTTGTTTGATTGGATAAGTGAGTGACATGATTGGCACAAGTCCTTTCTTATGAATATATTGTTTGTTCTTTCTAATTAAGGTGGCTGAACACAGTTTTTGATACCTTTGTTTCTTTCACCATTTTCTCTAAAACCCTTGATCTCTCGGTCGCCAAAACTGGCAGCAAGCAAGTTAACAACACAAACTTTGTTTGTTTGATAGTTAAGCTGATGTATGTGCTGTTGCCATGGTGACATGAATAGATATAAACAGGCAATTAAAATCAGTTTTGTTACTTTGTAGAAAATCTAGGCATTAGATTTTCTTTATAATTTGCATACAACGAGCTTGTAACGATACTGACAAGTTAACATAACACCATTTTGCTAACAATTTAACAGAGAGATCTTTAATTATCTCTTGTTGAAGGTTCACTCAATTTTCTAGAATTTCCTTTGTTTAAAATAATTTTGTTTATCAATACTCCAGTTTCTTATTTCTTTAAGTATTTTCGTGCCAAATTTCAGGAAATTCTAATGAGTGGTTCTCAAGAAATAGGCATATTCCTGAGAAAGCAATTTTCATTCAATTGCAATTTTTTGACTTACTATGCATGAGCTGCATTTAACTGGGTTCTTTCGGTGATGACGAAAAAGCTGAGAATTGCTGGGTTCTTTGCACCGTTAACTTTTCTAACATATCTTTGTTATAAAAGATTACAGCCTTCAATACACTGCGCTAACTATAGAGAAAAGTATAGCACAGATAGTGCGGGTATGTGTTGAGTAAATAAAATGACCGCTCTATTGACGGCATGTTTGTTTTTTTCAATCCCTGTGCACGCGCTGAATTGCATCAGCAAAAGCGCACTCAAAAACTGTGTTCAGCCACCTTAAAGAGTGCAGTAGAGTGAATGTGATGAATGAGTTGAATGTTGAGTTAGTAACGCTGGCTTTGCTGTGATATTCTTATAACTAGTTATTTGACTTGTCGAGTTTTTTAGAGCATTCCTTCTGTTAAACAAGCCCAGTAGGAACAACAAATTATCTTGTATTTATCATAGTAAAGAAAGAGCTTTCATCAAAATTCAGCCAAATTTTTTTCCAAGTTAGAAAGGTGTTTAGTGGATTTTGTAGGGGACAAAATTTTGAATCTGTTAACTCTCATAGAAAGTGGAAATACTCTGTTATAACTACCTGAACTATAAGATTTTAGACATTCTTGTATTTTGATTGCCTGAAATCATTTAGCATCAATTATTACACTTTGAATTTTTTACTTCATATGTGCCATATGATGAACAGATGTAAAAAAAAAAAAACAATTTTGTCCCAAATTATCTTATTTCATTTGTTATGCAAGCATAAAATAGCATGATTAAAATAAGCACATTGAAAATTGCAACTGACAAGTACTTAAGCATTTCCCAATGTTGATTACTATTTATATCTGTGCAAAACTGCATGAAACATCTGGGAATTTATCGATCCTTTAACTCTTATGAGTGACCAAGACTGAATTTCTCCCTACAATGTCATTACAATATCTAACAGACAAGTGAGTAAGAAAAATATCAGTTAGGGAATATTTGGTTGATCTAATACCAAATTCTCTGAACTGCTTTCATAAGAACTGTATGGCTGATAGTAAGGAGATTTACTATTGAGATCTTGGCAGTAAAAGGTTAAAAGCTGGTACATGAGAAGACCATACTGTTTGAATTTAGTCACAAAATATGGAGAACAATTTAGGTGTTTATATTTACAGTACTTCTGTTCTACAGTTTTTTTGATATATTCAACAAAATAAGGTTGGGCTTTTAGTCACCATCATCAATATACCGCTTTTTAAATAGAATGAAGTAAGGAGTAAAGGAAGATGTATTTAATGCTCTAAGAGTAATCTTAGTAATCATATTTAAACAGAAAGTTTCTTTTAGAAGATGACGATACTCTTATCTGAAGTACATTTATCTAGCCGGTATTTTGTGCATCAGACTAAAGGAAATCATCAAAAGAGACGAAATAAAGTTTGTTTTTTTACTGCATCATTCGTGGAGCTGCCATTTACTATTAACTTTTCTGACACATTAAATTTTTTGATTTTATGCCTTGTGGCCTGGTAGTTCTTTGACACCCACTTCCAATCATACCATGGATAAAGCTCCCTGCGTTCTCTCCCTTGCAACATATTTAGGTAATCTACAAACCGTTTAACTTAGTAATAATAATAATAATAGCTAATCTTTATTGAGGATGCCAACATCACAAAAAAGTGGTTTACAGAGGGGTCCTCTAAAAGTAACTAAATATAATATAATTACTTAAAAAGAAAAAGAATACAAATCGAAAAATATGAAGATAAAACTACATTATTTGAAAATGAACATGGCAAAAACGAAACTAATTAAAATAGTGCTTTCTTGATACCACGCTTAAATTGGCTTAAGGTGGGCACATCTCTTAGGGAAAGGGGTAAGGCATTCCAAACGTCCGCTGCAAAATTTATTGTTATCCAACTTGGCCTTTCTATGCAACTTCCACTTTTTATTCAGTTTCCAAATTATCAATATTACATTGAGTGAGCTGTAAATAACCACAGCTAGTCTAAGGTGTGTCAGTCATTAAGATGAGATAACTAACCTATCTAAGCAAATTGCCTAAACTAAATTCGATTCAGCATTAGGAAATACCTAAAATTACACATATTTTACCACCCATAAGTACCAGTGGGTTGAAAAGAAAATTATTGAGTAAAAAGCTTGTTTACTACATTATTATTTACATTATATTACTTTTGTTAAGATATTTTCAGTATGTAAGTAATTGTCTTTGCCAGGATCCCAAACAAAATATCGTGGAGTTTTGTTCAAAATTGGTTTTATGGTCCACTGCAGGTCTTAAAGATACGCAAAAAAAAATATTTTAAGTTTATAATGGTATCAAATCTATCCTTCTTCCATATAGCTTCAAATCGGTAGGCTACATTTCTGGGAAGAGACCTGGAAACCAGTGTAATCTTTATTTGCGTTCTTCATGAACCATTTGATCCTTAAAAACAAAAACAACAACAACTGAAACAGGTGGTCTCAAAAAGTGGAAGCAAAAGCTGAAACTATGAATGCTTGATGGCTTTTTCCTGAGCGCTTCTTAAGAGATAGAAATAACACTGTCGACAAGTTAAACTGAAGCCGTGAGCTGGCTTCCCGCAAGTTATTTTTTCTGATTATTTGTTCTGGAGAAAATAAAATTTGGCGAGTCGTGCCAGGCCTGCTCGCTTTCAAATGAGGTTGTTTACCCAGCCATTCACTGAGGACAGTTAAAAGATCAGTGCCTTAAAGAATTTTGTATTGTGACTCCGCAAAATTTGTATTGGCATATCACAATTTTCATGCATTGTGCACCAAAATTATTCTGAGACTAAAAAAAAGGGAGGATTCCAAATTGAGCTAAATCGCAAATTGGAATTATTGGTGTTCCAAAGTCTTTATGGCAAGGCAATATGCACTTCCACTATATGTGTAGAATCACTTTGATGCGCTAAATATTGCCGAATCGTAAGTACCACAGGAAACTTTTGGTTATTTCCATTCTGAGAATAATATGGGGAATTGTTTTTCATGTCTTGCACAACTTTGGGAATAACCTGGGGAAATGTCCCCTTTATTTTTACAACTTTGGGAATTACATGAAAACATGTTCCCATTTAATTCACAAGATTGGGAATAACATGGGGAATGCTGCGGTGTTATTCACAAGATTGGGAATTACATGGGAAATGTTCCCATATTTTTCATAACTCTGGAATAACATGGGGAAGTGTTTCCATATTATTCGCAAAATTGGGAATAACATCACAGGTGGCCCAAGCTCTGTCACAGGCTCTTTCACAGTGAATAATTAAAGAGTTTGTATAGTGGTTTAGTTAGACTTGCTTTTGAGCTCCGTAAATGTAAAGTTGTGTGAAATAATCAAAGAAATAAAGTCTTACCTTCATAGAGAGTAGTCTGTTGTTTCCCTCGCGATTTCAGGCTGTTTTGATGTGTTTTAGCTTGACGCCCTAACTCATCATTGCACGGTGAGATTGGCTAGATCTGCATTTAATGCCAAAGTCAAAATGTTGAGACATGTAAATTTCCTATCTACATCTATCTTGGAGACTTTTTACTATAGGATAGTTATTCCAAGCGTTCTATATGGAATTGTGATTTGGGGGTCTGGACCCAAGCTTAAAGATCTAGAAATGATTCACATCAGGGCTGCTAGGCTGATTCGTTAGTTACCAAATAGTTTTAAGGATACTGATGTACTTTCTAAGGTTGGCTGGATGCCTTTAGAGTATTCTTATAAGCTCCGTATCTTAACTATCACATATAATGTTTATTATAATTTAGGGTTGCGGGAAATTAATGGTTTGGTGACCAAGAACTTTAACAGCTATAACCTAAGGAAATCCCTGAATGTTGTACTTAATAGGCCCAAAACCGAACTGGGTCGTAAGTCCTTTGCTCATAGATCTGAAGTAGCATGGAATGCTCTACCAGATAATCTTAAAGATTCTCCAAAATTATCTATTTTTAAATATAACTTAAAACAATCCAAACAAACTGTCACGAATATTAATTTTGAAAAGGGAGGTAATGTTATACAAAACATGAAACCAAATTTTCACTATTACTAAAATTTTATGGTTAACTTAATTTATTCAACTTATAATTTGTATCATAATTGTATTTTATATAATTATAGACTGATTACTTTAGGCAGGTCCGCATCAGCTGTAAAGTTGCTTAAATTTTAACCTGCGTTATCAAATATAATGTATGTATGTATAAATTCTGAAATCTGAGTGGCCACCCGACTCGCTATTCTTTCCATAATAGATATATGTCAGGTTGTAAACAAAATAACACAAATACATGTACCTGTCTTGTTAGTTTTTTTAACGACTGGTGGCAGATGATTTGTACTAAAACAGTTTATTGCCTTTCGATTTCTATTCTCGAGCTCAAAATCTGATTGTTAAATAGACTACAACATCGAGAGAAAGGCCTTTTAATCGCAGCTGTTTGGCACATTTTTTACGATTGTGCACATTTGATCAGTGAAAATATCGGATGCAATGCAAATCTGCTACCTGGCCTAATCGTGTATCTCAGGCAGAACACAGGCAGCCCAAGCTCACTACTAGTAAAGCAGACGTAACTCTTGCCGTGTTGCGCAACGTTTTATATTCATAAAGGTTTGTATCGGATGTTATCGGTTTGTCTTAAAAGAGAGGAAAAAATGTCTTGTTTTGAAATAAATAAGCGTTTTTCTTATTTTTGTTTCCCCCTCAGGACAAACCAAATTTCAACACAACATCCTTATAAAGCGGGCAGAAATATCCTTAGGTGAACTGTTTACATGTTTGTCTTTTCATTTTAGACGTCATTTTACAAGGGCTTAAGGAAGCTATTGCGCAGTTCAAACGCCAGTCGCAAAGTCTGAGACAGGTGGGAAACAACTGTTGTCAATATTTTCGAGGGTTTTAAGGCAAACCGATAACATCCCATACAAACCTTTATAAATATAAAACATTGCGCAACACGGTAAGAGTCACGTCTGCTTTTCTAGTGGTGAGCTTAGGCTGCCTGTGGGCAGAACGGACAGAGGTGTTCTCTGGGTACTCAAATATTTTCATAGCCGGCATGAGGCTCGATCACGATGCTGATATTGAAACCACCGCAGATTATGCTTCGTGCCTTAGTCCTGTCTCTAATACAAAGGATTACTCACAGCTTCTTTGCTTGGGTAATAAAAATATTTACAATACATGAAAATTTGGTCAGGAGAGTATATTTTTCATCTCTAATGTGAACAATCAAAGAAAAAGAAAAGCAGAAAATGGCGATAAATCGATCTCAAACAAAACGGCTCGAAACCGAATTTGCTGATCAGGCAAACTTCCGTAAGTATCCCTAAAGTTGCAAAACTAAGGTGCACCTGCTTCAAGAGCTGTTTATCTTTTTTCTCTCTAATATCTTTGTAGTCACGTATGATGACCGAAGAAAAATTTCGTTGCTAAATTTGGCTGAATGCAACTGAGCATAAACAGATACGCGATATGAGTTTAGCTCTACAATATCGCGATCGCATGACGTCACGGTTTTTTCCCGGCACGACACAAGATAAGATCACGTAAGAGGTGCTTTCCTTTATCTCGATCCCCAGAATCAAGTTTCAATCTTTTTCACATTTTTCAGTCCCTCTAAATAACAGAATCTTGCAAAAATTCTCTTTTCGTCTCGGAGCTTTGAGCAAAGTCAATAATATTACGAACGCGGGGCAACAATGTAGATATTGATTGTTTTGACAATCAATTTTAAAATAGACCTGACCCTTAATACATACGACCTCATTTATATAAAACTGTTTCAAGATGTCTCTGGTGGAGAAGAACATTGTTGGGTCGGAAGTAGTGGAAATTGGCTTGGGCTGGCTCCAACCTACTGTGGATAGCTTCAAGAGACACCCACCTTGAAATACGCCGGCGTTTGAATTCAAGAAGTCATATCTAAGACCGGCTGTCGCACACATTGCTGAACAAAGATGGATATTGCATGAATCAATCATTTTCTGAAGTTACCATTACAACATTACATTTCGTTTTGTGTTTTAATTTCTAAAACTTGTCCTCATAAAGGTAATTAAGGGTCACAGCAAAAAAAAAAAAAAAAAAAAAAACAAACAAACAAAAAAACGGCAATTCTGAAGGCGTTGTTTATCATCTTATCCAAACTTCTCCTTATCCCTTTGACAGCTAAGAGTGATTGGCATATAATTTCTCCTTACAACATCATCCCCAAATTGCACATTAAGGTCATGATCATGAGAATCAAGGAAATGATCGCCAATTAAAGAAGCTCTTGATTGTTAGCCAAATTCTCCCCATCAGCACCCTTGGAAATGCATAGAGAACAGTATGGAGAATATGCACACTGATGTTAGGATGTAAAGGTTTAACTATCACATGTCTATTTAGGGGATGTCGCCACACTGGAGACGAGTAAGCTCGGTCTTGATTAATTGTGTAATTTGTGCCTTTTGCAAACCTATCGACGAGGCAAAGAATTATCAGCTGGATATCTTTCTCCAATCGGTCGGTATCACTGAGTCCATGTTATAAGAAAGTCTATCACTTGCTGGTTACACAGCATAGATAAATAATAAAGATAACATTGGGATGTATGAGGCCATCTGCCATCTCCGGCTGATAAACTGAAGCGTTTTTATCACGCGCGGTTGCAAAAACTACCCTGTGGTGCCTTCAGTGGCAACAAAGTGGAAACAGTGATGAATACTCTCGTCGATAACTCAAAGGATTTTTTGCAGAGACTTGATGATACAACGTCAGGTTAAAATTATGCAAGACGCCTGGATCTGGTGCTTACACAACCAGTCTACAAATAAAAAATCAGCAGTTCTTTACCTTTTTTTTACAGTTTTCGTTACAACATTCAATTACTCTGCATACTTGTGAGCCGTAAATTTCGCAGAAATTGACCACTGTACTATTTCAGTATTATGCTGAGTTAAAAGAGTAATTAACTTTTGAAGAGACGACCTTTGCCATAAGGCTGCAATTAAAACAAATACAGAAAGTAGTGCCTAATGAAAGAATTCAGACGCCTACGTCTCTTTTTCAGACTTGGTACTTTTAGCAGACTAGCTGAAAGAATTAATCAGCGAAATATCATCCTAGATTCGAATATGGGTGATTCGTTACATTATTTATGATAACAATTTTTTTTTTCATATTCCTGTAAAGGGAAATAAAGAACGAACTGCATGTGCCTCGTTACTGACGTGTACCCTCGTAGGTCAATTGTGCGTAACTTATGTCTGTGAGGGAAGGTCTCACAACTATCGTGGAGGCCTGAATTCGTCAAGGTGAGTTACGGTCTGTCTTTTTCTTGCAGTTATTTTAACTGCTGCAGTTTGCCGGCCATTGTGAAGAACACTTTGTCGCCTATCATGTACAACTGGCAGCCAAACAGGATTTAGCTCTCGATAAATCATTTACGAAGCAGGGAATTCTATTTTGAAAACAAGTTTCGGCTCGTTTTTTATTTTGTGTCCATCTCAAGGAAGAGCAACCTGATCATGAAAGCTGTGCACTGCAGGAACTTGGCACGTTCGTTTGGGAAAAATCACGAAACGATAATGCTTTTACAAAGTGATATCTGTTTTTCAATTAGTCAACAAGACGTGTAACTGAGATACCGTACCCAGTTAAGACTCGGATAATTTAATTTGTAGTCTGAAAATTTGTCTCCATTCATGTTATCTCTTTGTTTATACTAGCCTTTTACTCACAAACAACAAATCACAAACACAATAAAATTCCAGAGAAGTTAAGAAGGCTAGAGAGACAGTATGATCAGAAAGTTTGCTTAGACGCCCCCTTCTATATTTCGAAAGTTGAACTGTACATATGAACGAAAATGTTTTGCGCAATCATTACAAATGTTGTTAGAAACGCCGTGGATACTGACTAAGAATAAATTTATTTACTGGATTTCGTCATGATTTGAGAGTCATCACGGGAGAATGGTTAAGTCTTTGTTCGCGTGTCGTGGCATGCTTTTACGGTCTGGTTAATGGTACGAATTGATATATTTTCTTAGCTTTACCAAACAAAAGAGCATACCAGCTGTTTTTGTAAAGCGTTATCGACTATTTTGAGACTTTTAGAACCGTTCTCTTGAAATCTCTTTTGTTTGTTAACTTTTGTTCCGGTTACACAATGTAGAATTTTACTTTGAAATTGTTTGCATTCTTTCACTCAAAATATACTGATAATTTTAGCGTTTTTGAGTTTTAGCCCTGTAAGAAGAGGTCACGAACTCCCCATTTAGACTAAATTAAAACATTTTTCGCTTTGATTCAGAACGCCGTTGTAAGTGATGGAACTTCCAAAAAGATGATGATTTGATTAGAGGAATCTGTTTGTGTTACATGACATTCGAGTGGACGTCATTTGTAAATATAATTATCCCAAGGTATGGTGTCGCCCACGTAAGAAAACTAGGGCCTGGCTGAGAATGCTCCCATATTTGGTTCTCAGTTCAGTAGGAAAAAGAAAATTCTGATTAAGAAATGTCATGTGGCAGGACATTTTAACGTAGTTTTTACCCGGAGATGAGGGTAAACAGGAGATTAGTATTGCACAGATGCGTAAAAAAGGAATGAAATACTTGTTGAACAAATTAAAAGTCGTCACTGTTTCCTAAAACAAAGCGTTCAGTGAATTAGCCAATCAGCTCTCGCTTTCAGCTGTTATGGTCGACTTCACCTTATACTTCATCTAATAATCGCTTGAAAATCGTTGAGGGCATATATAGCTTACAGCTGCATTAGCGAACGAAGCATTTTTACTTGCGATACAGTGTTGATCAATACGAGAAATCATTATCTTCATTACGTAGCAAAATGGTTTCCAAGAAACTTACTTTACTTTTGTGTTTGTACTTTAGTCTACGATTTTTTGTTCGTTCCCATGAACTACCCAAGCAGAAGCACGAGCACTACAGTTTTACGGCGTTACAAGAAACATTAAATGGCGAGGTTCTCCTCTCCGACGATGTCGATAGACTCCTCTCTAAGTTGCATTTCTGGAACTGTTCAGATAGCAGTGCAGGGATCGACAAGAGGAAGGTAAAAAGAGATAAGTTTACATGTTTAAACACCCCGATCTTTGACCTTGTGGTTCGTTTAATTTAAGTTAGGAAACAAATTTGTTCGATTCCCTTCGTACCTGAAAAAGTTACTAAAACGCCCAAATAATCAATAATTGAATGAAGTAACTCTTCTTTGATGTATACTTGGTGAATAAAAAAGTATCAAAAGCGTTGAAATTGTTATCGTTGTGCTGAGAAAACATTACAGAAGAGATCGAAGAACTTGTATTCCATGTCGTTGTTTCGCCGAGCACGCGGTCCTTTTGTTGTTCCCGTCTCTCTGATCGAAGTTTTTCTTTTCAGTGTCTCTCGACATCTTATGTCTTCAGCTACGCTGGATCGTCGGTTACACAGTTGAATTCCAGCGAATTTGTTGAAATCAGCCCCATGATTGTTTACTGTCTAGTGCCTGCGCCTGAAAAGAACCCTGGTCGATGTTCAGCTCCCAAGAACCACAGCGAACTTTACAGCTTGTTCGCAAGGAATTTCAGTCATCATGGCGATGAAGGAAATATTACGCATGAAACATTGGGTGAAATATTGAAGGAGATCAACTCGACGATCGGGAAACATTTAACTACGAAAAAGGTAGGAGAAGGAAACGAGATTGCAAGGTGTTTTGCTTGCTATTTTTATTGAACTAGCATGTGTGAACGTACAAATGCAACGTAAGCTTATATTCGCAAACTGCCAACATTTACGTCGGTACAAGACTTTTTATTCTTTAAGAGTGACTTTTTCTCGAGACTGAGTGAGAGGTGGCACATTGACCGAAAATTGACTTTCCTTAGAAACGTAGTAAGGTTTTTTTTTCTCAGATAAGCTTCCTTATTCGAGAAAATTCTTGAAAACTGACACGAGCGTCGGTAGCAGTTAATGGCGGAAATTAGTGCCTCGAGTTGAGGCAATTGCACTTTGCTCATGATAAGTGCAAAAGAAAGCAAGCTCTTATCAACTTCATACTTTAAATCGGAGGGATCGAGGTATGGTTTAAGCCTAAAACGGGACTATTTCATTTAATTTGGAGTTCGCGGAACGCCTCCATATTATTTTACTATTATCATTTCCCCATGCGCTATAACTCAGAATTAGTTGAGGTTAAGCTCGTGACAAGTGGAAATAGGTTTGTTTTCGAGGATATAGAAATTAGGTAGGGCGTTTTATTTCCATACGGATAAACCAGACTGAACTTAGTGAAAATCGCAATCGTCATTTGCGTCATGACATAATCTACTTAGGCACCCTGTGCTTAAATCCACAATTTGAAGCAAATTTTAGCAGTTTGCGCCGTGTTCGATTAGGAAATAAATACATTAAGCCCACCCTGTGTAGCTTACGATAGATTGGTCTTTAACCCTGCTTCCGTTTCAAATTCTCATGTATTTCCCATGGCGAAATTGTGTACAAAAAGCACATTCCTTCTTAATCTGGTGGGGTGATGTTTATTGTTATGGTCCCTTGAGACTTAACCTCTACCTCAAGTCTAGCGTAAAAAAAAGCCTTGTCATGTTTCTAGGTTCACTTTCAGTATCTCTGGGCAAGAGAAGGTGTTCAATTTTTCGACCATGTGCCACATTTTTGGATTTTCACTTGGTCCACTCAGATATTCACTCTGAAGGAGTTGAGTTTTAAATAGGCTAACTGGTTGCTTTCACATAGTACCAATATCCCTTGAGATAACCTTCTAAGGTTTTCACCTGGTCATTTTAGGTTTCATTCCATTTCCCTATATGGACTATAGATATGTGAGAGGTTATTTTTAATCTCAACTTCAGTTTGACAATTCCTCTCTAAAAGTGGAAAGAAGCGCTCTCAACTGGCAGAGTGCCAGCTGCAATGAATTGTTTTAGTGGTATTAGAGATTGAAATGGGAGGGTGCATTCTTTGTATGTGGAGCAGGATAATAGGCTGATTATCATAAAAGACAATGTTATAAAATATCCATTGCATTTGATAAGGTTAGAAGGATGGCTAATCAGTAAGATGCTTGAGAATTTTCATTCTTTTCATTAGATTATGTTAAGAGCTAAGATTTTTCTGGTTACTACACACATGATTGCAAGGTGGGTTAAAACTTGTAAGAATGGAAACTGTTATGATTTGCGACTCAAAATAGATGAGCACACGGTGAACAATAACAAATTTAATGTGCCCCAGATGTGTGATGTAATACATTCCATAACATCTTCCTTCCCAGATAAAGGTAAATGTATAACTAACTTGGGAGGACTAACAAAACCTTAAGCATTCAACTTAGCCTGAGTGTCAGGCCTTCCTAAGGGGCCAGGGGAGGGGGAAAAGAGAAAGGAGGGCCTGACACAAATCCATTCGGAGAACTGTATGACACATCCAAAATCTGGATGTGGCCGTGATTGGATAATACACAATACCCTCTGATGTCATCCCATTGACGGGAAGTAAATACGAGCAGAGTGATCAACAAGAAGAAGCCATTTGATTTTCGATGGACACTTAGATGCACATGCTATACTTTTATGGATAGAGAGGAATTCAAAAAGGCTCTAAAGGGAGCCCTCAAGTTCTTCCCTGAAGTTGTAATGGCTTTTACAAGCTCTCTGCGTAGTGATGGAAATTTTAGAGCAGCGTTTGCTGATGCTTGATAATTTCCTAGGCAAAGGTGTTTCACCATCACACCTTCCAATTTATCGTCAGAGCTCCTTTCAACCACCCAAGGAGACAAAGGGTAACCAACAAAAACCTATGGATTTGTTGGGTACAAAAGACAACCAATTTAACCATTAAAAAATTGAAACCTATATCTATCATCAACCCGACTCATCTTTAACATCGGCGGTAAATATGTTTCTACAGGAAAATTCATAAGGTTAGTTATTTCGTTGTTGACGGCTGAACAATTGTCATCCTGTTTGTTGGCTTGAAACAAGGATCTTTTAGATGTTTTTTGCTCAGATCTTTGCCCTTGGGTTGTGTCTAAAAGCGATGGTTCAGTGCCCTTTTGATGCTTTGCAGTGGGGGTGATTCCAGTTGGCGATCGCTGGTGTTGAGACATGCGCTGGTAATTTTCTTTCCTTGATTTCTCAAGAGTTTGAAGAATGCAGGTACAAGCTTTTTCTGTATTTCTGTCAGATGATTTTCTGCCTGATGTATCAGTGAACGTCTGCTGTAACTCTGTCAACAGTTTGTAGCAATTCACGATCTTTTGGGTGCACTTTTTACAAACAGAGCGTTGACGATCTTGCAATGGCACAATTCCTAAAACACCTAATAATTCTGCAAAAACGACAGGTTTTCCATTACAGGTGTTTGAAAACTCTTTATTGGAGTTCTCACAAAAAAGAGAAACCGTGGCAACACAAGCACCGCTTTTTGTTCGCAAATTCTCGTTGCAAATTTCACATAAAAATTTCCCAGGGTCAGTAGCC